TATCTGTGCTCCACTGCTGTTCACAGGGTTTTCAATAGGGCTGCTATTTAAGAAGTGGATGCAAACCCTAATTTCTGGACTGTCTTAATCTGGAAGCTCCACTAAAAACTGCCCACTATGGGTAACCCGTATGGTATTTGACACACCAGTGGCACAGCTTTCAGTATCACAGTGATCCAGAAGTTATCTCAGTACAACAAACTGACAGACAAGTCCTGTATCAATTAGAACAATGTTCTCCCCAAACACAATTTATACCAGATAGCCAATCAGCTTACACTCAATTGTTAATGAAATAAAACTCAATTAAACAGTTTATGACTGACTTTCAATTAAATCAAAACCACCTACCCTCTAGAGTACAACTGTTTGACACAAAAGCCTCCCGACTGGAGTTGGGGTGGATTTATTTGTTTGTTTATTTTGTTTTTGTTTTTTACTCCATTTTTATCATTTTTGTTTTAATTAAAATTTAATCTGTTTTTATTTAATGTAATTTATGATACATTTAAAGTTAAATCTCTTATCTTACTCAATGCTATTTGGCTCATCTGTTCTATGTTCCATTTACTTCTTTTTTGTCTTCTTTTGGATTTATTGGATATTTCCTCTATCAGCTTAAAAGTTATGCTATTTTATTATTGTTTTAACAATTATCCAAACAATTATAGGATAACAGTTGAAGAACAAGATTGAGGCCTTGAAAACTTATGAACAAAGACCAGATGAGCTGTGGGATGATATCAAGAGTATCACCCAAGAAGAAAGCAAAAGTCATTACAAAGACAGAGAAGGGAGGAAAGAGCAAAGTAGAAGTCAGAAGAGACTCTAAGTATTGCACTAAAATGCTGAGAAGCCAAAAGAAAGGGAATAAATTATGAAGTTAAACAGTTGGTGAGAAGATTTCAAAAAGCAGCTTGGGAAGATAAAACAACGTATAAAACAAAATGTGTGAAGAGCTGGGGTCAGAAAATCAAAAAGGAAGAACTCGTTTGGCATTTCTCAAGCTGAAGGAATGGAAGAACAAATTCAAACCTCTAATTGCAGTACTTAAAAATGGACAGAATAATGATCAATCCAAGAAACATCAAAAGAAGATTGAAGGAATACACAGTCACTGTAGAAAAAAAATTGGTTGACAAAGAACAGTTTCATGAAGTAGCATATGATCAAGAACTAATGATAATAAGGGAATAAGTTAAAGTTGCTCTGAAGAAATTGACAAAAAATAAGGCCCAAGGAATTGATGGAATACAAATTGACATGTTTCAAAAAACAGATGCAGCCCTGGGTGTGCTCACCAGGTTGTGCAAAGAAATCTGAAGGATAGCTTCCTGGCCAAGTGACTGGAAGAAATCCATATTTATTTCAATTTCCAAAAAAGGTGATCCAACAGAGCATGGAAATTATTGAATAATTAGAGCACATTAGAAGGTTCAAAAAGTAAATTAGCATAAAGTAGTATATTTATGCATATAAGCTGAATTTATGTTTTTGTTATGATAATTAATTGCAGGGAGCGGCATCCACTTCCAAAATGGCTTGCCTCTGGAAACTCTATGTACGAACAGTGCTCAGGCTGTTCGTCCATAGGGTCGCTATGAGTCGTCTACGACTCGACGGCATTAAACAACAACAACAACAACAGCTATATCACTGCATAAAATTTTATAGTCACTTTAGTATAACTCCCAGGTGACAGTGTCATCCCATGTGATTTACAGACTCCTGCACTTCCTTAGTGATATCACTGCTTTTCACTTCCTCTCTTCATGCTTTACAATCCTTCTGAGTTAAAATTCTTCCCAAAGAACAAGGAAACTTGGTGGCTTAGTGGTTAAGCATCTATCTGATAGGTGAAAAACTCATCATCATGAGAGAAAGATTTGGCTATCTCTGATAAAGATCACAGCTTAGAAAATGCTACAAGGCAGTTCTACTCTGTCACATGAAGTTGATATGAATTAAAAATCAGTGAGACGGGACACCACAAGAACAGTGTCTACTTTGCAAGTGAATTTTTAAAGTATTTAGTTGTCTAAGAATGCCTTCATTCCACCTCTAATATTTGAAAGATACTATCTAAGGACATAGAACTCTAAGTCAAGAATAATTTTCTTTCAATACTTTAAATATACCCTCCCAGTTACTAATCTCTACTTTTTGTTTCCTTCCTATTGAAAAGTCACCTATCCATTTACTCCTTTGTAGTAATAGGAATTTTTCCTGACTGATTTTAACATAATCTCTTTATCTTTGGTTTATAGAACTTTAATATGATGTGTAGAAGTGTGATTTTCCTTTTTATCCCACTAGGATTGAAGGGTCTCTAAAATCTGTGACTTGAGGTTTTAGAAAGTCCAGAAAGACTATTGTTTCTTTAGCTATTACATCTGTCTTATGTAAAAGTAATGTGTTCATGAGAAAGCCATGATTAGCCCATTAACTTTGATGGGTAGAGGAGTTGTTTACAGTTGGAAGCTATTATACTCTTGCCATGAACATTCTTATACATGGCTTCTGGTGAAGATATTCAGTTGTGGTAAGGATAAGGTCAAGAATTGTTTATTTTTAATCTGAAGACAAGATTGAGGTTTAGACTCTGAACTGTACCCTATTCACCCAGCTTGGGAAGCCAGAGAACCTTACCTAAAAGGTTATCTCCGTATCCTGTTGACCCTAACATTTGACACTGTTGCTAGGATATAGTTTACTTTAAATTATCTTCTTAAAAATAACCAATTCTGACACTTTGCCAAATAGCACTCCAGACAATGTTCTATACATATAAAATCTTTATAAATAAATAGTATTTCCAAGAAAAATGAAAACAGCATGAAATAAACAACGTATCTTTCTTTCCTTGACCTATTTAATGACATCTGGTTTCTTCTAGAGCTAGGCAAAATAATGACTATTTATAGCTAAAACTCAAGATTCATTTCCAACAGATTCATAGCTGACACATCAAGCAGGCTTGGTTTTCAAGGTCAGTAAATTGCAGGGAGAAGGTTGTCTATCTTTGGCATTGGAGCATCCGGTGGATTATTACCATAATGAGGATATCAGCACTCCTCTCTATAGCTAAGGAGGAGTGGAAGGGAAGAGATAGGCTGTTGTCTTGATCCTAGGAAAAGATGAAGGAATAGAAATAGTCAATGGCTCCAGGAGAAGAGATATTTCATTCATAGAAATCAGAGACAAGTAAATTCCAATAAAATGTAATTCCCTACCCCTTTTCATAAAGAAAAAAAAGAGTGGCAGATCTGATGTACTGGGTGGGGAAAGGGAGGGAATCAGGCACACTACTGTATCACTGCTGGTGGTAGGGAAAATTAGGGACCACGATCCACTGGTGATGTGTATTTCCGGTGATCAAGAATTTTGAGGAGGAAAAGTCTCTCCATCTATCAACATTTTATTGACGTCAGAGAGACATGTTTGTAACCAAGTGAAGAAGAAAGAAATTGTTATGATCATGTGGTTCATGGGAGATTGAATGCTGCAGAGAGAGCCTTAAGATCTGGGCACTACTCATCTCAACCCATTGTTGTCTCCTAGTTGATCTTCTATTACATTTCTGAAGCTGTAAATCCCAGCTCATGGCTCCTTAGGAGAAAGATGTCCATCTTTCTCCTAAGGAGCCATGAGAAACGAAGAAAATTGGAGTTTATTTGCTAACGTTTGAAGCAAGCATGGGTTTCTTCAGGGAAATGTGACTCTTGAACTAGTCACAAGGGGGTGGTAGAAGCCAGTGTGAAACCAGAACTTGCTCTTTCACTCTTCCGTGTTACCACCAAATTTGAACCCACTCTTAGCGGGGCCCTGGGGCCAGTTTCCTAGGCTGTAAATCTCACCCTTCCAAATGACCCAACTTTCTTTGTAGGCAGATTCAAACAGGTAGAAAGGTATAGCCCCAGAATTAGCAGCACAACTCACTATTGACTAAACTAACTCTCTCCAGTCCTGTTCTAAGTCTTGTCCTGATTTTAGGGGCATAATTTTCAAATGGTTCTCCTTTGTTGTTTACCTTCCTTGGCTTCATTCCCAACACTTCTCCAGCAGTGCAATGCTTGTCTTTTCCAGCAACAAATTAAAAGAACAATGTCTGATAGAGAAGCTGAATCACCTCTCATCTCTATATTCTGACTCTGACAACCAACCCCATCTTCACTTCTGTCTCCAGGATACAACACGTAACAGAGTCATTTGTATCCTGTGTAGTGACATGTTTATCCAGGGAGATTAAAATCAAAGCTCTAAATTATTTGCATGTTTCCTAGGTTTAAGTTGGATAAGGAGATAGCTTATAACTTTGAAAAGAACATAGAATTACCGCTGTCCTTGGAAATCACAACTGATAGTCTTTCCAAAGAGTGAAGTATGCCTATGACTTGTCATAGATGTGCTCTGACTGGGGATTTAGTTGAAGCAGATAGGTGGTAGGGGCTAGAGTTTAAGATTAGAGAAGTAAAAACTACAAATACAAAGTGAGGACAGGTAAAGCTCTCTTTTCAGTTCTTGTTTAAAATGATCTCATTTAATATTATTTTAATTTTAGGATAAAGTTGCTAAGGATATACCTAAACTCACTCCTTGCCATGGAGTCAAGAGACTCATAGTTGAACTTCCAGTAAGTTTTCAGAGGCTAAAAATCACAATGGAGGAGATTGCACCTTTTTGTCCCAAGGAACAGCTGGTAGATTTATACTGTAAGAGACGTGCTCTTGCCTCTTAGGTTATCAATCCAACTCCCTACTGATTTCTACATCAGAATTTCTTGTTAAGGATAGAGACCTTTTCAAATACAACAAGATCTTAAGAAATGAAACTCACTTTTCAAAGAAAGTATTCATTTTGGGGGAGGTGATGGTATTGAAAATGTAAATTGTTTAAAGGAAATGGGAAAGATCTGGTGTGGAAAAACAATGTAAACAATCATTACGAACTTTGTATGCAAATCAGTATAAAGTAAAACAAAACAAAACAAATTAAAAAATACTAATTGTGTTTTGGACCTTTCCAAGAGTCCTTTGATTCAGGTGAAAGTGAGGTCTCAACTCAAGGATGCTGGCTTGTACAGCATCAGTGATCATTTAGCCAGTCTCTGTATGGTTGGCAACATAATCCACATTCAGGACCCCAGAGTTAAGGAGAAGGCCATCTACATGATGAGTGGCTTGAATGTGGTGCTGAAATTGAGGGCCAGATTAAGAGGTTCATCAACAGAATGTATCTCAATACTGTGTCTCATTGTTGCAACTCATTTCTGCAGCAGACAAGATTAAATTTGCTAATAAGCATGGCAGCTATTCATCACATGCCTGCCAAGTCCATCTTAGGCTTGAAATGTCCTCTGAAATCAGAGGGAAGAAGATGCATTAGGGATTATGTTTGGAGGCTGCTGGTAGAATTGCCTGAAAAGCCAGCCTTGGCAGTGGGCTTGCTCAGGGCCCACTTGCTGTTGTCATTCATGCCTTTCTTTGCCAGAAAAGGAAACAAGAAATTCTCTTGGATTCCCTGGCCCCCAGGGTGGTCATCTCAAACAGAAAGGGTCAGAATCCACCCAAAATCCATTTGGGGAACACTCAGCGGGCACTGTGGGAGATCCAGCTTTAGTTAATCACTACATTACTGGATAGAAGTTATAGTTGCTTCCTCAGGGACAACACTTTCCCTAGCCAGCAGGGGTACTTCCAGAGCTTAGAGTAATTTTTTGGTTTTTGCAGTCAGCAAGCAGTGTGCATTGTAAGCCCCTCCCTTCAGCATTCTAGTGGTGGTGGGGGGGCTCATTGCAGCTCCCATCTATAGAGAAGGAACACCCTGTTACAGCATCACAGAGTGATCTTGTGGCCTATGGTGGCCACCTATCTGTGTAATCCCAACCATTCATTCTGTGAAGAGCATGTGCTGGAAACACATTTCTTGATGCTTCAATTGAGTTATTATTTTTTTAAAGCTTACTCTTTCCTCTATGTGAGCTGAATAATCATCTAAAACCTATTCATACACTCCCCAATCCATCAATTGTACTGACTTTCCTCACTCACTCAAGTCTTCATTTGTGTGTGTTATCAATAAAGTCATGTGCCTTGACTGGCACAAAAAGAGGCCTGACCCTTGACCTTATGTTGGCAGTCTGCATGAAGAGGAAAAAGTCACACACCAAAAGCTACCCAAATGGGCCATTGGCCCCCTGTTGACTGCACATCCACCACTGAGCAATATGAGCCAGAGGCTGAAGTAGGCTGCTGTGCTCCAAAAAAGCTTCAAGAAGGAGAGGGACCAGAGATGGGAGGCTGAGGATGGAGTGTGGAGAGTACTGAAAGAGACAAGAACTAGGAAGTAACTGACACAGTTTCTGGCACAGAGCTTTTCCTCCAACAGGGTGAATGCCCCTCCTTCTTCCCTACACTGCTGGTCTAGAAAGGAAAATGAGTATCTTTGGGCTTGTCTCCCTTTCTTCAGGTGAACAGCGGGAGGAACGGAGGATGGACCTTGTAAGCATCTGTGCGCTCTTTTTGTAGCAATAATGGCTACCTTTGGCTGAGTTCCCATTCTGTATAGTTCTAGTATTCCTGCAGAAGGACTGTTAAACCCACTTGCAATCTCCTCTCTTCCTTGGTCATCCTCTCACACACATCCATGCAAAATTCCTGGCATAATGTGAAGAGTCGGTCTCTGTCTGCTCCTTTGGTGGCATCACCTTTCTGTTAGATTTCCTGTGTCTTTGGTGGGATTTAAAGAGGGACTGTGGAGTGGTCCACTTTCCATGGGAATGATAGGGCAGACACTAAAGATACTTTCATGCCTGTTTCCATAGGCATTGATTGATTGATGCTTTCAAGGCCCAAAACAGCAGTCAAGAAATAAAATTTTCCCAGTATTTCACTGGGAAAATCTAGTGCAAAATACATCTATAAAATGTTGCGTACTTAAAAAAAAAAACACACCACATACAACAAAACCAACACACAACGATGTTACAGTCAGGAAAATAGCATTTGCCTGAATCTAGCCATGATGGTTTTAATCACTTCATATTTGTGTGAAAGATGGACAATAAAAAAAAAACACCTAAGATCAAAGATGGATCAACACATTTGAATGATGATGTTGGAGAAGAATATGAAATATACTTTGATCTCTTTTCCTGGAAGAAGTAAACTGGAATGTTCTTTGGATATTAGAAGTAGAATCAGAAGACTTCGTCTCACTTATTTTAGTCATGTTATCAGGAAGCCCAACTCGCTGGAGAAGGACTTTATGCCTGATGGAGTACAAGGTCAGCAAAAAAGAAAAAGACGCTCAACACTCAGTGAGTTAAAAAATTGACTGCAGCATTGGGCTCTAACTTACCTACTATTATGGCAGTGGCTCAGGGCCTGATAAATTATATGTAGGAACAATCAGTGTAATTCACCACATTAACAAAGTAAATAACAAGAACCATATAATAAATAAGGTAATTATCAGGCATGCCAGAAATTCTTTGCTGTTATGCTAAACACTGTGACACTGATGTGTCAAATGCAATAATGGCTACCCATGGTGGACAGTGTTTGGTAGAGTTCCCAGATTAAAACAGGCTTGGAAGCAGGAGTGACATCCACTGCCAAAATAGCTTGCCTCTGGAAACTCGATGAACTTAGAGAAATGATGAAAGTTACACAAGTGTTCAGGTCTTTCATTCACAGGGTTGCTATGAGTCCTCTATGACTCAATACAACTTTACAACTTAACAAAATATGTTCTTAGCAATTGATGCAGAAGAAGCATTTGATAAAACCCAACACTCTTTCCTGATTAAGACACTCAGCAATATTGGAATAGGAGGGAAATTCCTCAACATAGTGAAAAGTATATATGCAAAATTAAGAGCCAATATGATTCAAAATGGAGAAATACTAAAAGCATTTTCTTTTTGATCAGAGACCACGCAAGGATGCCCACTATAACCACTTTTATTCAACACTGTATTGGAAGTACTTCCTAGGGCAATACAAGAGAAAAAAATAAAAGATATCCAGATCGGTAAAGAGATGGCTAAACTATCACTACATGCAGATGATAGGATAGTGTACCCAGAAAACTCCAAGGATTCAACAAAACAACTGTTCGAGCTAGTGGACCAATTTAGTAGGGTTGCAGGATACAAGATCAATATAAAAAGAAATCAATGGGATTAATGTACAGTAACAAAGAAAATACGAAAAAGGAAACTAAGAAAGAAATATCATTTACAATAGCCAACCACAAATCTAAATACTTGGGAGTAAACCTAACTAGAGACAAAAAAGAATGATACAAAGAAAACTATTGACCATTTCTGCAAGACACAATAAAAGACCTAAAGAAATGGGGAAATATACTCTGTTCATGAATGTTGTTGTTATGTGCCGTCGAGTCGCCTGTGACTCATAGTGACCCTATGTACAACAGCCCTAAATTCCGCTCTGTCCTGTGCCAATCGCACTGTTTCCGACACTCCCATCTCAATTATCCCAGTCACTGAATCAATCCACCTCATAGAGGGCCTTCCTCTCCTGTGCAGTCCCTCCACCCTCCCAAGCATGATGTCCCTCTCTAAGGACCAGTCTCTCCTCACAACATGTCCAAAGTATGTTAGATGGAGCC